TAATAAATATAATAGCACATATATAATTTAATAGTAAATTTGCTTTTGTAAGAAATATAAGTTTTGAAGGAGACACTAAGCAAAGGACAAACAAACCACCAAGTTAGGAGAAAGAGAGGTAAATTAGAGAGTAAATTACTGTTTCTTTGCATGCCAGCGCAGGGAGCAACACACAGCCTCACTTGAGCCCTGAATTAAGGTACCTCTACAGTATGAGAGGCTTTGAACAAGCCTTCTATGATTAGATGAGTTTCTGCAATGAAGTAATCTCTTGTACTCAAAAATGTTAAAAACTATCAGGTATTTCACAACTAGTCAAAGTATCTTCTATTTGCAATTTTGAAAAATCGCTTCATAACTCATGTTTTAAATGCACTTGTGGAAAGATTTTCAGTTTGTGGAAACTTGTATCACACCATGAAAGTAACTGGACCTATAAAATTCCTAATATGATACTACATATAGTAGATAAGGATTTAGGTCATAACATGTATGTGTGTGTGTGGATCTGTTCTGGTATCCTAAATCAAATGAGTTATGACTCAAAAAATCTAAGTGCCTAAGGAAACAGTCATTTATTTACTATCACTTTCACAAATTATAATGACTATCAGTATATTGCTTAGTTAAGAGTTTCCCAAATCCCCAGTCACCAAACCAAAGCTGTGTAGCTGCACTTCAACTGAAGTGATGACAGCTGCCAGTAACAGGATGCAGTGTGCAGGAGAAAATAACAGTAAGCAGATTTTTTTCCAACTGATTTCTGTTTGTGCTTACCAGGTAAAATGAACAACCCTAGTATGTATATACACTTTCACAAAGCATACACACAATTTCCATGGCCTGTTCCACCTACATTCAGCAAGAAGACCGAAGCCTTTTCTTTGTCATACAGATTTCACTACAGACATCTGGCTTTACTTATGTTTGGTCTCAATTCAGGCCTATTCAGATATGGGCAGGCATTCAACCTGAAGCTGCTCCTAAAAAAAAAAAATAAATAAACACGAAGAAGCTTCAGCAGGTAGAAGATTGTCTTGCTTCTTTATTACCTATCTGTGTTCTTTGGAAGCACATTCTTCACACTATGCATTGGCCTTTACTTAATGTACTTAATTGGGAATTATTTTTAATTTCTATAGCCTATGAAGGGAGGCCATGAAGTAAGACAGAAAAATATTATTTACAAAGCTTTGAAAAATTCTTTTATAGACACAGATGTTCTTTAAAACATAAACTGCCTTAACAACATACTAAGTTGCAGTTAACATAACTTTGATAAAACTAATTACTATTTTATCCGAGCTACTACAAGGTGAAATAATTATAATGATTATGAACATATTGCTATGTCTAAATTTCAACAACAGTTCTCACATGCTCTGTTTTCCTACAGGCTGGTGCTACAATGTGCTCGCAGCACAGTGCATCTTTGTTTTCATTCTAATAGACTACGACCGGGAGGTGCTGGATGCCAGCCTTGGAAACTGAACGCTTTCATTCATCCAGAGAATAGAAACCATGCAGAAAGCAAGAGTGCAAGCTTACACACATAACCATGCCAGTATCCTTCAACCTTGATTTGAAGAGTCATCTCTAGTACTAAAACGATGATCTCTACAGTCATTTCATTCTTGGCTCGTGCTAACGTCAGAGTTGCCAGATCTCACCCACATGCTCACGGGATACTAGCCAGGTCTAGAGAAACATTTAGATTTTCTCTTTTCCTCATTCACCTTTTTCTAGGCCAGACCACCTGTTCATTACTTCACTCTCTGACCTTGCCAAGTGTGGGAAAGCTGCTCACTGTTGGCACACTTTACACCAGTCACTTCTTGATCATCAGAACCTGCTACCTCCACCACACAGAGAAAACGCAGACAAGTGGTTATATTTGTTCAGCTGCCAGGTCAACCCTTATTATAGCCATCATTATGGAGCGAGAGTCTAGGGTCTCTGACCAGAATAAATAGAAGGCCGTAATTTCACACACCCGCTCTGCTCTCAGAATTGAAAGAGCTGCCCTTGTACACTATCCACTTCCTCTAGCTACAGTATTTGTTTCCTTCCCTTCCTCTTAGCACTCTTGGTCACCTTAAGTAATTTCTTTATATCTGTAATCACCATTTCTAATTTTAGTTTCCCTCCCTATCCCAGAAACACTAATGAATTCTTTGAGAGAAAATAGTTTCATCTGCAGGACTCCTTACAATAGCATCTCTTTGCTTTTGTCTTCAACAGGTTTGCCTTTTAAGTGCACTGAAGTAGCCAAAGCAGAATGAAATAACACATTCCTCATTAAATGCATCTTCCAGACAGATTTTCCTGGGGCAGGCTGACCTGAGGTAGAAAAACATCTTTCTTTTGAAGCAGAATAACATTTTAAAAACAGGCTTTCCAGAGGAGGATCTTCCAATCATCAGCAACAGCTGAGAAGCTGGTCGCCTACTGTTTGATCATGTGCAGCTGCCATGAGTATCTGCTGTTGAAACTTCCAGCTGAAGTTCCAACAGGAACTTTACACTTGCTGTGAATTCTCCTTATGAATAAGGTAAAGATTATGGAAATTCTGAGTGTCATATATGGATGTTGCTACTGACAGATCCCAGAAACAAACATTGGTATGTCTCCGGCAAAATTGGAAAAATGCTCCTTAGGTTAAGAGAAGGTAAAAAAGCAAGCCTAGTAGCATTTCTAAGCCATATATGTATAAAAAAAACAATGGGGTTGTTGGAAGCAGAATAGAATACAGAGCCAAGAATCTTTTGTTGCAGGTAATTCCAAGAAGGAGGATGCTCCTGGATATACACTAATGAAATCATTCTGAGTAATGTTCAAAAGCAGATAATAGGATTTCCTGAGGTTCATTACAACCTGGATTGTCCTATAATTCTGATCCAATGCAGAAGGAAGACTAGCACGCTGTGCTTCAGAAACACCATTACTATCTGTGTAACAGACGACTGCAGTAATAGTCATTCTAGACTATTTCTGAAACTGAGTTGTAATGTAAATATCTAATTATCAAGAATGAGCAATACTGAACAGACATCTCTGGTAGACAATCAACAGGAAACTGATACAATTCCTCAAACTAGTTATATACCCCTTTTGACAGAAATACAGTTCTGTGCTGCTTTTTACTTTTCCCTTAGTATATGTCACTAAGCATTCCATTTCTGTAATAAATAAAAAAACTATACAGAACCATATAACGTAGAAAAAAACTATAAAACCTAAAAAGGACAATAACAAATCATGAGAGATGAAGTAAGAACTTTCTAAACACCATGCATACAGTACTTTCATCAAAATCAAAAGAAAAATAAGTCATTAGGTAATAAATATGACAGTTTACCTCCAGCCAAAAAAGAGCTCATACAAAGCCTGAATCAAGAACCTAAAGTTCCTCAGGGCATTTATCAATACAATGTATGTAATGCCTTATATATAAATCATTACATTTGATCCATGTGAATGCAGACTATGGTACAATACCTGTCCAAAGTCAATAAAACAGTTTCATTCATTTCAGGTATATCATCAGCTTTAATAGTAATGTTGATTGTAGTATCACTTTGTCCAGGTAGGAACACAACAGATCCATTAAAAGGGCTTATATCATCATGTGTTACTGCTTTTTGATTAAGACCAGAAGGTTTCAAACTCCAGAACACAGTTGCTTGACCATCAGTCCCATCTCTGTGCAATGCAATGGAAACCTACAAAACACAAAAAACTGTCACGACTTCTTAAATACAGAAATAACTGCTCCCTCACAAATTAATATTCAACTGTGAGCTTCAAAATGCTCAGTTTACTTTTTTTTCCACTCATACGCATATGTATAAGGTGTAGCACCTATTAAATCAATGATGTTTTCTCAATGAACATTGCTCTATTAAGCCTAAACACTTTTTATTCATGTACAAATGCTATATATACATACAATGGAGAAGACAGAAAAACATTTTACAGTTTATTCATATGACAAATCACGAGGCAATCAAGTACAAGCAGCTTTGTGTGACTGATTCAACCAGTTATCACTTTAAGACACAAGATAAATTTTAAAAATAATTACCAAAATTTTATTTGGTCATTACAGTACAGCCTTATCATGTAATCTCTTTAACATAATTAGCTAACTTAATTTGAAAAAATAGAAGTTATCTGAGTCAGGATTTATGGGAAGATTTTAATAAAGACAATTAAGAAAAAACAAAAATGTAGGAAAAAAATACAAGTATTTCCCCAGCTGGAACTAAAGCACTCAGATGGATTCCAATGCTTTTGAAAATTCTTCTTAGAGTTCTCAGAAACTTGCAAAGCAAAACTGTGGAAAAAATGTGTCCAATTGTGCCCAGACAGCAAATTCTACATTACAACTAAATTCTGCACCGGTAAGAGAATTCAAGATTGTCTACGGTATACTTTTTGTGCAAGTATCACTGACTAACTGGATGCTTGCAAGGACACCAAGGGCCAACCTTACTTTTCTTTCAAGCAAGAGATTGTTTGGAATCAGGAATAAACATATAAGGAGGATTTTCTTCACGTTACTTTTCAAACACGACAATGAATTTAGCCAACTTTGGCTTGTCCAAATAAACTTTCCATGAAAAAGGACAATATATAAAAGGAAAAAAAAAAGAGGCTTACTTACCTCTGTAGCAGGGGAATCTTCTGGCTCAGAAAGAATAATTGGAAGATTGCTAGTAAAGCCAATTTCTCCATTTGCAATATCAGGAGTAATCCTCAGAGAAATATTTCGAATCTCACCTAATCTAGGACTCACTGGTGGGATCAGGGGAATTCTATTCACCAGCTCAACTTTTTCCAGCTGCAAGAAAAAGTAACCCTAAATTGAGAAACAAGATGCCTTGTACCAGATGGTACCAAATGGAAGCAATTCTGACATTTCAAAATAATTTTCATAGGCAACAAGCAAAATGTGTACAGAAAAAAAGTGAGCACACTAGCACTACTGCTGTTTTAAAAATCTAGAAGAGAACGTGTCAAATAAATGGAAGTGGATATTATTGAGTTTTGCCAGTAGAGCAATGTACATCATGGACAAATGATATTAGCAGAACTAACTAAGCGGAGATGCAGGAAGAGAGGGAGACTGAATGCATACAACTTCCCAATCAGCCTCATTTCTACACTTCTGAGCAACAATGTTGATTTCATGAGTACCTTAAGTTATTGTCTTAATTTCATTTTTGGACCATGTGTTGATAAAAATCTACTGGTGTCATTGGAACTGTAATAATTCATTGCTTCAGAAACAGCCCATATGCTGAGGAAACCCATATAAAGAGCCAGCCAGTCTATTTTCCTCGCCCATGCAACTTAAAGCAATTTCCTATCCATTTATGATTACTAATACACTAGAATTTCATTCAGGATTGAAATTCAGCATAATATTTCAAAACTGCCTTCTCCTCTTGTGTTCTTTTATTTCTGATGCTTTATTGATACTAAAAGGAAATAAAACAAAGTCTATCTCCTTTCTTGATCTGGGCAGTATTACTAAATCTAGCAGCAATATTGACATAAACAGGCAGGTCCCACTTTCATTACCACTTATGTTTTTCAAGTATTATTTATACCATTAAATTCTGTCTACAAACATCACTACAGAATATTTTCCATAACTGATCTGAATGCATTTCTGCAAATGCTTCACTGAAGTATAAAGCCCTCAGTGACACTCACCGTTTAACTCTCACAAAAATATATTTTCTTGGGCTTATCAGATATTGCCATGGAGTAAAATTTTATCACAAAAAAATGGCTTTATTTAGATCCGTATAGAAATCATGAATTATCATATCTCTCTAAGATTTTTAAAGTCTTTCAATTCTTAACCTCAAACGACAGACGTGCTGCCCCATACTTTGCACCACAAAAATATCTGTATACATTTCATTTGATAATAGTGAAAATGTTTTATAAATACTATATTTAGTAAAGGATTCTCAACCATGTCAGCTAGTTATTGAGAGTCTGAAGGGGGAACAAACTGGGGGCTCTGTGAAATATTCTTTGCTTCAGTTGCTTTATAAGCTATCTTTTCAAGCAAGCCCTGACAGTCTACAGGTGGATCACTATGCATTTGTGCAGCCCAGTAAAGTTCCTTAAATACTCTAAAACTTTTATGTATGCATACATACAAGTATATGTATGCAAGTATGTATAGATAGACGTATGAAGCACACAAATGGCTTGTATGCTTCTGATCCTGGATAATAACTCTGGGATAAAAGTAGAGATTAATGAAAAACCAAACATATCTTTTTCAACATTTTCTTTAATAACTTTTAAAGCAGAAGAGCTCATGAGGAACAAAAGCTTTGTGAATTGAATAATAATGAATAGCTTATTGCATTAATTTTCACTATTAGCCTTCCTGTCCATGCCAAAAATTACATCTCAGACTACAATAGGTTATTTAACAGAGGACGTCACTGAAGAATGTTAATCTCACTTCTTCAGTTCTCTACTCATTCTTTAGTTCTATTTGAGCTTCATTTCCTCTCTCCCACCCAAATTCTCAAGTTTATCCTTTATTGTGCTTAGCACAGGCTCTGTAATCTTCTCATTCTAAACATGTTTCCTGAGCTTATCATTTACTCACAATGTAGAAGGATTGTCATAGTGACAAATCGCTCTTTCTTTTATATGAATTTCTAAATGAATTGTTTGTGAAGCAAAGCCCCTCTGATTTAGTTTATTCAAGCACGAAGATGTTTACGGTTCATGGAGAAAGTACCGGAAAAAAATTTTGGAAACTACAGTTAAAAAATCTTGATGAAGTGCATCAAATTGCAGAACACGATACATTCTAAAATACTTAACATGCGTCTTTTTCAAATCCCACATTTCATGATATTTAAATTATATATTTTAAATTTCTTAGAATTCTCTTCTAGATCTTTCAGATCTCTAGCACGTTGTACACACACGAATCTATTCTAGTACTCCAAAAGACAAATTTAAGTTTAAATGAAAAAAAATGCATATATTGCAATATTTTCTGGTCAAAATTCTTCTCCATCCTCCCTTCTCTTTTTTTGCAATCAGAACAGAGAAGGGAAAAACCTCTTAAAGCTTCCCAGAAGCAATTGAAACATTTTTGGCAAAGCATAAATAAATAAATAAATGCTTTAAATTCAAATATTTAAAATTAACAACTTTCATTTGAAATCTCTAAAGAAGTCTGACTTAAAATGAAACAATACAAAGGGTCTCTGTGATTTGTTCTGGCATGTGCTAAGTCCCCCTCTTATTTCTGGGTATTAATTTTAACCTTTGGGTTCTTCATCCCCAAAGCATCACAGTGGCACAGTCAATCACAGCAGGTATAATTTATGAGGGAGCTTTGACTGCAGTGTAGAGTGTAATATAGTGTAGAGGGTAATAAATACAATCTATAATGTTTCACAGCAGTATTTCTGAACACAGATATGCTAAGCATTAAATGAACTTGGTTTTCCCCAGTGAAAGTTTAACGTCTTTACTGGAAAGCATTTTTTTTTTTCTTCAAACTTTTTTTTTTCCCTTGAAAACTCATTTTCTGTCCCCCTCAAAGAAAAGTTTAGTGAAAGCTTTTCCTTTAATTATAATTCATTCAATTATAATTAACTATGGCAGAAGATCCTCTCTTCAAAATTCATATGGAAAAAATAGGGAATGAAATGCATACGAACAACAATAAAATCTATACAAAGAAAAGTGGAAAATACACTTTTTAAATTCTCTGGCCAGATTAATAGGTAAATGAAACGGCATACGGGTCATTACTCTTAATTTATACTTCCCAGCTTGTCATTATCAGATTTGTCATATTATGTGAATTAATTGTTGAAACTTTAATTTGATTGAATTCAAAGCCAAGCGGTAGACAAATAAACATACCTCAAACTTAACTTTTGCAAAATTGATCTTTTGTTGAATGTCACAATTACTACCTAAATTCTGGTATAACAGTATATTTGAAAAGCTTATGCAATTATTAAATAACAATTTGAAATAGAACCATCTATGGCATATTAATGGAAATTGTCTCTTTAGAACAGTTGTGTTTCTTATTTCCAGATCTAAGGTTATTTACCACATTGGTCATTTTAAATACATTCAAATACAAGGAGTTAAAGGGGATGAAGAGAAACACAACAACAAAAACAAAATACCTGAATGAGGAAATGAGCACCATTTTGAAGAAATGCATCATTTCTTATTGGTATATTTACAGTATTTTGGGCTTTCCCTTCTGGAAAGGTGAGAATGCTTTTTTGAGACGTATTTAGAATGCCATCTTTTGCTCTCCCTGGGTCCAGAGCTCCAGACGGAATGTAGAGAGCAGTATAAACCAACCGCACATCTCCAACTGTTCCTCTCTGCCTTGCAAAGCTCAAGGATAAGAAGCGCCCCATTGGATTGCTTTCAATCTTCTGATTCTCCATAGGATAAAATTTTATTACACCATAAACATCATCACTGTCCTGAATGTAAAACAAAAGCTGCGAGAAAAAAAAAAAAAAAAAGAAATCATCAGACCTTTCTTCTCCTTAGTGAATCAGTAGTCAGGGAAGCAAATACATTGATAACCCCTAAGGGTTCATTGTACACAAGCTGCGCAACATGTAGGGTGATGGCTTTCCCACTGTACTTGATCCATGTGCCAGGAGGAGCTTGGAATGACTGATTTCCTTCATTCAGCAGGCAAAATAAACAATTTAAAAACATTTCTTATCGTGCAAAAAAATCATTTTATTCACCAAGTTCATTCCAACCATTTTTATGTAAAAGCAAGTAGGGACATGAGCCACAAAACTGGCAGCAGCGTTAGTCCCTCTTTATTTAACACTTCAGAGCTTATTCTTAATCACCAACCTATCTTCTCCAAGCTGTTAGTCTGTGTGAAATAGTCCCTAAGAGAGCAAATGAGCAGAGAACATAGCTTTCCTGGGAGATCAACCCCAAAGCCATCTCTTAGCAAGCTGAAGACAGAAATTTTGCAGTGCTATGCATGATGGAAAATGACCACAGCTTTTTGCTACCTCTCTAAAAAAGATCTGCCTTTGTATACTGTATTAAGACAAATAATTTGAATATGGCTTTACTTGCCAAAAATAAATGAAGGATTAGCTCCCTTGGTTTATATTCAAGCACAAACCCTTCACCAGTTGAACCAATGTTATCAGAACTGAAAAAGCCCCGTAATGCCCACTTCTCCCTCCCCTGGAAGATGTCCCAAAAGCAGACTCACCTCTAATGGATCGCTGACTTCTGCTCCTCCCCGTATAGTATGGGCCAGAAGTTTGAGCAGATAGGGCTCTGCCTCCTCTGGTATATCATCATTGATAATGTGCAGAGGAACTGCTGCCAGCATCTGGCCTTGGCCAAAACATAACTCCCCAGACTCTGGAATGAGGTCTGCAGTCACAGGTGAGGGATCGCTACTGTTACGGGTTATGATCCAGGTGACAGAAACATTGCCATGTGTTCCACCATTTCTTACAATTGTGATCCCTTCAAACCTAAGGTTTTGAATGAAAATAAGACCCCTCAATAGATAATTATAATTAATCTCGGTTTAGTTACTTATCTATTCTCTGACAGATTACACTTTCAATGGGAATAGTTTAACTGCAGAAGTGGCATTTAAGCGGGGAATTAAACATTGTAAAATCCTATGTGTACACTCTTCTTATACAGCTCTTACTCATGAGCGCTCTATAGTATTCCTGCAGATATTTATAAAAGCTTGTTTTGTTTACAGTAAGGAAGATAGAGAAGTGGCACCTTGGCAAGTTTACATTTGTCAGGGGATACGTGAGTTATATTTCAGAAAACTTTTTGTCTATTGACTTTCTTCACCAATTTATAAATTATCCCAAAATACAGTTCTTAAGCCTGAACACCTAAATAATAATTCAGAATTTGCCTCTGTACTGAAACATTAAATTATCAATACTTATAAAACTGAAAATGTCAAGTTTCCTGCAAGACAAGTATACGATTACAAGAAGCTTGTATACCATACCTTACAAATATTTAGAAATCAAGATTCATTTCATCTCTGTAAAATTACAAAAATTTAACTTTAACTATTTAAGATACTTGGAAGTTAAGAGTATTTAGTATTTCTGGGAGATGCTTAATACCTTTTCTTTGGAAAAAACCCAACAAAACAAAAACAGGTTTTACACACAGCATATGCAAAAATTTATTTGGAAAGGCATCCTGAACTCTATTCCAAACTTACATATATTAATGAGTGGAAACATTATGGCTTCACTGATCCTGCATTTAGATTAAGAACATGTCAATATTCTGATAATATAATTAAATATTTACAGTTCATATAAACAGTTCACTGTTTTGTAACTCCTTAAAATCATTATCCCTGTTTGAAGACCTATATAATACCTTGAAATCTGGTCTTCATCAATGATAACAGCCCGGGTAAACAGGATACTGTTGATTGATAGCACTCCATAGGGTTTATCATTCGGTTTGATGGTAACATGAACCACCGATGGATTAACTAAAACAGCATCGCCCTGCAAAGTGTCCTTCAGCAGCATAATCTGAAAGCTCTCCGCAATTTCTGGTATGGCATCATCAAGGATCTTAAATTTCATAAAAGTTTCATGAACTAGAGGTGGGAAAATGATAGTTGTATTTGGCTGTAGATCTAGGAAGTCTAAATTAAGCTGAGCGTGTGCTGATGAATTCCCAGTTACGATAGCGTAGCTGACAGAGACTTCGTATTCATCAGGTCCAATTAATTTTCCGCTGTCATCTTTGCCACGAAGCACTTCAATAGTTAGCACATCAACTTCCTCAGGCACCATATAAGCACTCTGAACAAACCGCACAGGGCCGTCATTTTTTGTAATATTGATCTGAACAGAATTTTTTGTGGTGTTGATTTCAGCTCCTCCCTTCACACTTCTCAGATGAATAACAAATAATTCATCATTTTCAGGTATCTGAGAAAATAATATTGTATCCAGGTATAAGTCACAGTGCAAATATATAAAGGACAGTCTTACTGAGAAATATGCTTTATATATATTGCAGAAAAGGGAAATATGCATACTGGACAAATCACTTCAATATTAAAACAAACAGAAAAAAAGCTTGTAACTTTGACAGAAAATCCCTTCTCAAAACTCGACGCTTCCATTTGCTAAAATAATAGTGCTCCAGTATTATTACAAAGAGGAGGAAGAGGCCAAACAAAAATAATACACAAACAAGGCAGGAATCAGAAAAATGGTGATCTCTTCAACTCAAGACTATGAGATGATTCAATTCCCACTGTATCAGCCCATCTCAACTAGGAAAAGAGTTTTCCTCCCAGCTACTTAGATTTGCACTTTCATTAGCTGATGTTAGCATTGATTTACTTCTATGTATGACTGAAAGAACATGGCAACAACATGTGGGCACAATTTAGCTTGACCCTTTCATTTCTCTAATAACTGATGCAGCAGATAATATAGAATGACTTATGAGCCCAGAACTAAAGAACTTGAGGCTGATGTTTTTCCTCCATATTAATACATCTTATTTCCCGTATCTTGATCTGTTACACTAATTTCACTATCAATGATTTCACTTTTTTTATTATTAATATGGATACAGATTAATGTAAATCTTTAAAAATTATGAATGATCTTTGCATATGAGTCTTGCTGCAACCTCCCACAAAACTAGTCTTACGTGCTTCTGAGAGAAATTCCAGGACAAAATTACTTTTTATTGCTAATGGTAATATTCTGTTGTAAAGTCAACAAATCCTTTTATGTATTTTTGTTTACTGAGCTAAACAAGTTGTGAATTTCTTGCTGTCCAATATTTCTTCTCTTTCCTGCTCATTTGCTAATTGGCCACCCTCAGATCCTTTCTTAGTGCTAAAAGGGTGAACATGCAGCTCTCTGTATAGTTCATGCCAATTCTATCCTTTTCTTGGCCAGTGGCAATTAAATTTGCATAATGTGGTTGACTGAGACAGCTTTTTTTAACCTGAGTTCTGGCAACCCTAAATCACCTCTCTCCTGACATACAATTGTTATTTTTTAATTACCAACACAGATACTAACTGTGCTAACTGTCCATTATTACACCTTTTTTTCACAGCAAAAATATCGATTTAATAAACAGTCAAAGTGCATGTAGAAATTTAGCTGCTGATTACATCTCAATATCATGTACAAACAGGGCATCCTGGAGCTCTTAATTGCATCCTGATTGACCAAAAAATCCACCCATTAAACTTCAAAGACTTTAGTAGAAAGGATTCTCAGTGTGTCCCCTCTCTTTCACTTTCTCTTAAACAAAGTTTCCACTATTCCTCACAAATAAAAGAAATGGATACCATCAAACGATCATAAAAGTAGTGCTGTAGAGATCAGATCTGCAGCCTCCTAATTTCTGTAGGAAAAACGTAGCTCATTTCTTTTTATTTCTCTCTTTCTGGAGGGTCTATGTTCGAGAGTAAGACCAGGTTCTTATGAATACTACCATGATCACCATCCATTTTTCACATTCTTGCTTCCACTGAGGGGACCAGCCACACCTGAACAGACTGAACTATGAATAACAGAACTTAGAGAGCATCTTTCAAAGAAAAAAAAAATCACATTCTCCCAAAAAGCTTAACAATTAATTTTTTTTTTTATCAGAAAAATGGAAAAAAAAAAAAAAAGCTTAAAAGATGAATCACTTCTAAGAAAGACACCTTTCTACTATTATTTTTTTTCCTGTGCATTTCCATATGAAGTTGTTCTGTACCATATTTGCTTATTTTGGTTCCTCTATTTCTCTCCACCCCCATTTTATAATTAAAAACAAACACGAAAATATGGGTATGGAAAGATGAAAAATCACAAACTTAAAAACAGAAAATGTTTTGTTTACTATGAAATAGAAAAGAAAACTCCAGAACATATAAATTTCATTTTTATATGGCCAATTCAAATACTGAACAGTTACAATTACAACTTAGTGTTAATAATTTTCACAAGACTGTCTGCTTGTTTCAGGCATTTTTTCATTTTTGGAGCAATTTTTTTGTTTTTAAATACACTTCTATCCTGAAAAATGTGCACGTAAGAATCATACATCCTTTTCAATATGGGTTCCCATTACCTAAACAATTAGTAAATGCAAAAACAGCAGCCTGCATTAACTATGCAGACATGCCCTGAATTTGCAAGATGAGCAATTAGAAAAAATGCAGAACATACTTAAGGAGAAACACACACACGCACAAAAAGGGAAAACAGAAGGGGCAGTCTAATAGACAAAGAAATACAGTGGAATAAATATCTCATTAAAGAACATCACCCTTGGCTAGATACCTAGTGCCTTAGCATTCTATCTTACAAAAAAATTAATGCTTTTCTGATTTCTTACAGGTTTCTTGCAGTGCTGGGCAGTCAGACATGCCACAGTGTGTTCAGAAACTAAAATAAGACATTGATGAGAATTACAGAGATAGTATTACAAAGATTAAAAATATAGTCCACAGAGCCAAAATTTAACATCACTTTACTATGCAGAATCACTTCTTAACTTAGCCTAAAGCAACCCTATTGGCTACCTATTATTTCAAGCTCCTACAGAACAGAAGTTGACCTTCTACAAATTCAAACCTAAAGTGAAAGCAATTTGTGCTTACCTGATCATCCAACACTGTTAAATTATAAATCAGCATTGATTTTCCAGGGGCAAATGTAATATTTCCTTTAACTGGACTTAAGTCTTCTTCAGCTGGGTTTGGACCATCCTCTATCTACAAAGAACCAATTTTTATGAGGAGATGTAAGTCAAACAACACCACAAATCCAGTACTAGTATAGTAATCAACATACAGTGCCTGACATGCACAGCAACTGACTATTGACTCATCTCCTATGTCACAATATGCATATTCAATTGCAAAAATCTGTTCTTTTTTGGCAAATGGAGTCAAACTAACCACTCAGAAGGAAACAGGTATAACCAGAAAGACAGGAAGAAAATTACTTACACATGGGTATAGGAGGACTCTTTAGTATTAACTGATGCATAGTCAATTTTTTAACATTATTGTAAGAATGTTCATTATAATTTTATTTACAAGTATTGCATAGTAAGTGCTTAGACAAAATAACAGTAGTAATTGGTTTTGTGTCCTTCTTTTTATCTTGGCTAACATTTATAAATAACAAAAGCCAATGCTGTGCAAACACAACTGAGCTTAAGCATTGATATGCAAATATTGTTTCATTTAACAGTAAAAACTAAAACACTTAGAAGCCTTTCAGAAGTAATGTAGCTTTTTGTATCAAATACTCTATTTCAACTTAAAATACTGTATTTCAACTTATATATATAAACTATGTTGTGAAAGGAACCTGATTAATTCTGCAGATAGCAAAACTTATTGGACCTTAAAACAAATAGATCTGAAATAGATCACATGAGGAACCACACTATGTACTTTAACTGTACATACAATATTTGGTATGGAAATACAATGCAGTACAAAACTTTTCAGATTTTGACGGGCCTAGATCAACCCCCTGATGACCTGTAAGACTAGAGAACAGATAAAGACATGGCAATATTAATGAACCCTTGCTTTACATATAATTTTATGGCATGCAATACAATGTCAGCTAAGAAGAAGGAATCAATAAATGTAAAATCCGTACCATGCTCAAATCAAATAAACCAAGGAAAATCTAAACATTCAAACTGACTAATTAATCTGAAAGCTTCAGTTTTTGGGAGCTCAGTCTGCAGTGTCTTATAGCGACAGAATTTCACTAAATGTTGAGCTCGCATGCTTACATGTTCAGAGATGGGACAACATTAAAGATCCTCTCTGATGTTTCTTTGTAAAAAATATATAGATATTTTGAAATAAATTTAAATAACACATTTCTTACACTCTTAATATGCTTTGTTTTCTAGAGATACAAAAAAATGAATCTTCAAGTATCTTAAAACTATCCAGTTTTCTCTAGTATGTCTTTTTTTTTCTTCCATTTAAACTGCTGGATTACTACTATATTTTCCTTGTGGCAAGGAATATCTTCCATTTTATGGAACAGATTTAAAGAATTTGTCCTTCCTCAACTTTTACACATATTTTCATAGATTACAATCACAGCCTTCCAATTTCCTCCAAGGCTAAGGTATAAAGCCCTTTTGATAAACTCACCTCAAAAGTCACGATGACCGTCCCATAGGTTCCCCTCTCCCTAATTAGGGTGAGAGGCACAGTTTCATTTTTACCCCTGGGCTCGTTCACTGTGATTAAGGCAGACTAATGAGGAAGAAAAGAGACAGGCAATCAGGCCTGATCAAACATCACACTAAAATGAAGAAACTGTTACCATAGAAATACCAAACTCCCACAGATAAGTTAATCCAATCTGAAAACCAGTCCACTGACAGGATACATTCCCTAGCAACCAATTAGTTCAGCTAATAAAAGGCTTTAAAGATTTCAGATAAAGAAAAATCATCATATGTTATGCAAATAGCATCTATTTCCCATAAATTAACATAGTCGCTATATACATGCTATGCCAGCATAATCAACTGGGTTACACTATTGGATGGTTTTTCAGACCATGGTAGATAAAAGGTTTTAAAGAATCTGAGTAATTCGGTGAGCAGTATGCCTCAGTACTGTGGTTCTAAAAATTTCTAATGCTCTTGTGCTTTATCAGTGAATTCCTTTACGAAGAATACCTGCCATAATGCTGACAATAGAGTATAGCCCCTCTCTCTACTAACGCAGTCTTTGTATTACTGCAGTTTTCCTCCACTATACTAATGTCATCCTCACCCTCTTACCCTAAAATTGATGGTGTTTCGTGATGGTATATCATGGTGGTGTTTTCTTCAGATAGAGAGTTAAATGTAAAAATGCTCATTGCAGAACGGAAAATACATAAATTTTGAAGAGTTTCAAAAACACAGGTTGATGTTTAATTTTTCTCTGGCATTATTCCTAAGTTTCTTCCCTACTGAATACAGATCTCAGCAGGGGCAGTGAGACTAAAACAACCTTAAAAATATTTTTTTATCTTTAATATTAGCAGCATAATACCTCACTAAGCGTGAGATGCGCAGGCTATGTCTCAAAGGTAAATGCATATAATACTAAAGTGTACTTTTGTGAGAATAAAATACGTATGTATGATTTACCTTTAGAAATGATTACAAATGTGTAAATCAGAATCACACTCTTTACAGGGACTCAGTTAAATAACTAGCATCTTCAAAAATGCTTCACAGAATTTTCACGCATACCATAAAAAAAACATACCATGTTAAAGGAAATAATTCCAAAGGCATTGTCGTTTGATAATATTGTTACAGTGACAGAGTTGGGTGAGCCAAGTTTTACTCTTGGTGATGGTTTCTAAAATTAACAAAACAAAGTATTTAATACAGTGATAAGCAAAATCCAGAAGAAAGATTTCGGTGTCAGTGACTAAGTAAATATTATTTTAATACAAATTGCTTCCCTTTTTTTTAATCTATTACAATAACAATTATTTAAAGCAATAGAATGCAACAAAATAATTTAACACAGTGAGAAAAAAAATCTATAGAGTCAAGAACAAAGTGCCTAAAACAAACTTAGTAAATCATTAATCATTGCATAACAATCTATTAAAAATACCATAGTAATAGGCAACTAGATATGAGGCATGTAGTATTGCCAGCAACTAAAAAGTTGTTCTTTTCTTCCTAGTGATGTATAAAATGGAAACTCTGAAGGATACTATTATATGAACAGAAATATCAGCTGAAGGAGAAAAATTTTCAGCAGTGTAAAAATGAAATACTACTTTTATAAATCAAAGGAGGGATGAAGGGAAAGCACAGATATTGGCAGTAAATGCCAATATCTCCCAAGGTCTATAAAAATCGGCAGTAGATAAAAAAAGACTCTCTTTTTTGAGATTATTTCAAACTTCAAAGTCATAAAATGTTATACAGATGCCATTCTGGAGAGAATATTCATGCTCTAAGAGCATTACACTTGTATAATGGAGCAATATGCAGGCGTTTAACAATACATTGTTGAAATATGTTTTGTTTTCTAGAGAGGTCTGGTTTAACTCTGCTTCTGGAGGATTGGAAATTATCTTGTTTCCTTTGCTACTTCCACCCTCTCTTTGAGGTACAGTCTACACAGGAAAATAGAAAAGCCCAGTAGCCTCTTAGCACTCCAACTCTCTTCTTTCTAATAAAACACCTTCAAACTGGATGCACTGCTTGCTGAAGTTTCAAACTATGTCTATACTGCACAGAAACATCATATAAACACCACCAAGAATGGCAAAAATTTCTTGCGAAAAGTAAACTCTGTCCTGCCTAATGTCCAAAATTAAGTTCTTACTCACTTTACTCAAGACTCACCACTTAGAAGCCACACAACAACCCTGAAACCTATGCAATACCATTCATGTCAGCTTAGGCAGTGCTTTCAGAAGAAACAGATAAATTTAAAACATGAGACTTACTGGTAGTGTCAAGTAAAATACAAATGTCTCATCAGCCTCTGGAAGATCATCATCACAGACAGATATATATACAGTTCGGTTGGTTTCTGTATCGGGTATGTATGCAGCTGCATATGTGTCAAAAAAGTCTCCTGTGTCTTCACCATAAATCTACAATAAATAAACAATTGAATAGCATCTCTTTACTCCCCCACTATCTCCTATAACATTATTCTGAACTGATCACTCAAATTTCATACATTCTTCTTTGCACATTACTCTTCTCCCAGATTCACCGGCTACCATCCAGGGTGTTTCTGGTCAGAAGGTATAGCTAAATTTTCTTTTATCCAAACTGAGAAACCAGGTATAATTCCCTTTTTCACAACTTGGTACCTTATGCATAACGCACCACATGACCGCCTTTTGATGGAAAACATTGTTCTCAGCACAAATCTGAACCCTCTATAATAAGTTACCTATCCTGAGTTTACCTTAGAATGTAACTGCCTTTTGCTTCCTGTCTCACTCTAGTGAGCAGAAGAGCCTAGAGGTTAGCTTAGACCTGTTTAATGATTTGATTGCTAAAGAAGGGCAAAATGAATTCTTCTATGATTCCTACAGAACAACTTTTATTCCTCACAATTTCTAAGATCTTTTTCATATTTGATACTGGAGGGTACAGTATTATGTGGTAACATAATCATTTCCTTTGTCTACAGACTGAAGAAATTTATAACCAGCACATCTCTGAAGCAATGTTGTATTCTCCTTCCTTACACCATATATCACCTCACTCCATATACATTATTTAGTACACCATAAAGGGTTTAAATGATTAAAGGGAGCACGATCAAAACCATAGCTAACAACAGCTAACAGAAAAATGTAAACGTAGCAATCTCAGTCTCCCAAATTGAACAACGTGCATTTTAAAATTCGCAAGGACACCTGACTCAATCAGAGGAATTGTTATTAAAATGCCAGTGTTAAAGAAAGCTGGAATGGGCAAAATTTCTGCACATTTGTATTTTGGTATGAAACAACAGCTTGAATCAAGACTCAATGAAGGACATTAACTTGCAGTTCTCCCTCAGTAGTTTGAGCCGGGTACTTGAAGAGGTATTTTTATCCGAAAACATCTTGGTACTATTGACATAGTCAACAGGAAGTTGCTGTTAACAGAATCTGGGTGCCGTTAAAGTGAAGTATTGCCCCAGGGAATATCCCCTCCACCCCCTTCCTTTTCACTTGCTTGATGAAAGAATAAACAACATTCAAAACTTCAGAAAGACATTAATATTTCCTGAGAGATATCTGGCAGTTTCTTACCGACACAATTGCTGTGACGTTAGCGGGCTCCCCTGTCCTCTCAATGACAAGGCGTATAACAGTAGTACTTGTTTCGTTAACTACAAACTCTGTTTGTCCACTGAACCTCACTTCTGTTTCTCCAGATGTGAAATTAATGACTATTACTAAAAGAAAATGAACTAAAATAGAAGCAAAGGGCATCCCTATAGAAAAAGAAAAGATAATTAAAAATGAATTTTGTGTGCAAAATATATAAAATGAAACCAAATGAAATGTGAATCTGGTCAATTTTTCTCAATATTAAATACCGAAATTATTTCATGATCTTCATAAATGAGACAAAAACTTGCACCAGTTTCATCTACGATCAACTGAAAGAACATAATTCTCACCCATTTCAGGTAATACATACTGACTTCCATATTTTATAAACAAAGTTAATTGCCATCTAAAATTGATTCTAAACACTTCAAAGTCTATTTCATGGTTGCTGCCATTCCTTAATTTGGCTCTCAGACCTCTGATATTCTAGACAGCATTTTCACAGAATCACAGGATGGTTGAGGTTGGAAGAGACCTCTAGAGATCATCTTGTCCAAGCCCCCTGCTCCAGCACAGGGCACAGGGTGGCATCCAGGCAGGTTTTGAAGATCTCCAGAGAAGGAGATTCCACAACCTCTCTGGGCAGCCTGTTCCAGGGTGCTGTCACCCTCACAGTAAAGAAGTTCTTCCTCACATAGATAGAATATGAAATACCTGTTTCATTCATTTTTTTTTTCAAATTAAGAGCTTACTAAAGTACTTTGTTTGCTTGTTTTCTGGAAAAAAAAAAAAAATCCACATTGCCACACCAGCTTCCATTTCCAATCAACAAAAAAACAAGTCTAAGTGATCACACTTTAGTAACTCTATTTCCAATTTGCTTACTTACTTTACTGCTTCTCTTTAGAAATACACATGATTTGGGAGTAAGGGTGGAGAGTTGGATGTTTGCTGCCATCCCACAGACCACTTTCCAACATATCATGGACCATGAAATATCCTTGGACATTTATATTTACTTCATCTTTCCTTTGCTTTTTCTCTTATCCCATAATACTTTGTTTTCTTGTCACACAGAATCATTGTGGCAAATTTTAATGAGACTCTCACCTTGATATTGACAGACCATTATTTTCATTTGTTAATTCACAAGACCTGTTTTTTTTTTTTCCTCTGAAGAAAAGACAACTTAAAACTAAGGTGGATTTGCTTTTCTTACTTGAGAGCCCAATTCTATAATGTAAAACACATGCTGAAGTTCCTGTCAGGTTCTTATGTGGTGAGACCATGAAAGACGCACTCTTAAGAGGCACAAAAAACTGGAAACAGCTGCTGATATGCACATGCTCACACAGTGCTGATCCCTATCAAAGTCTTGGGCACTGAATGGAGATTTCTGTCAGAAAGTTCAAAAAAATTTTTGCACGGTACAGAAGAATTAAGAAGTCTGGTGTCCTTAGTTCTTTAAAAAATATCTTCAATGGAATCAGCTCTTTCAGTAAGCTTTCTTTACCTCACAATCACTGTTATTTCTTTTTTTTAATTTCTGCACAAAACATTTTTTGTGATAATGCATATAAATAAATATAAATAAAATATCACTTTGCTTAGCATTCTCTAGTGTCATTTTTATTAAATAAATCTGGTCAACATGTTTGAATAATTGTACTGAACAAATTCATATTTGCATATCAATAAAGTTTAGGCTCAGCTGTGTTTGTATGGTTTCCATTATTTCTGGCAGTAAATTAATATTCTACCTGAATAATCCCTGTTAGAGAAAATTTCATGTATATAATGAAATATATTTTGGAAACTTTATGTTGAATTTGTAATCAGGATACTCTGAAGCACAGTACTTATATGTATGCAGGTATATGTATGCAGGTAGCTTTAACATTGCACTGAATACTGAACAAGCTGGCTTTTAGAACACTTGGCTCTACAGAGCTTCAAGAAGACTTGAAGACTTTGATTAATTTTAAAATAATGCTGTGTGGACAAGAATTAATTTTGCACAGTGAACACTTGATATCAACAGCCTTCAGACAAGTTAAAAGGTAAGAATTAACCACAGCCATGACATATCAAATAACTTTACATATTAAATACAGTCAAGAAAATTTACTGTCTCTTGGAATGCTTATAAGCAAGGACTCGTGGGATGACAAAAGTAATGATTACACTACAATAAAATACTCACCCAGCTATATAGAATAGTACTGAAGAAAAAGGTGGGCACTGAAAGTAAGGGCAAAACATGAGGATCAACTACTACCCTTATGAAAACAATGCTATATTTTACAGCCTATCTGAAGAAGGTTTCACTATTTCCAATAATTATGTCACATAGTGAAATAATTTCTGCTCTGGATATTCTCACTATTATAAACGGAAATTTTATTAGCATGAGTACAATCCTCTAAGATCTACAGGGCTTTTATTAAGAATTCAAAATATAACAGACTTTCAGGATCTATGCTTTATTTCTTCATATCTATTTAGCTATTCCAGGGCTTAAAAAAGCTTAAAATAAGAAGCAAAGTTGAGAAATTTTAAAAGGAAAATTCTCAGCATATCAAAAGCTGACAGTCTTAATTTGCAAGGTATTTCTGTTCTTCATTATGTGGAATTGCTCTGAAAAATACAAACCTTCAAAACTTGCAAGTGAACAGTTGTGTATCCTTTGTAAACACGGTGACAATTATACTGTCTGCAAAAGCAGGCATCATCCATACTAAACTGAGGAGTCTGTTGACCTTTTAGCTTCAGCTGTTACCTTGCCATAGACTTTGCAAATATCTTCCCACGGTACAAACTTCTAGTAAATAATACAGAAAACATGATCCTTGAGGGCAAGATTACCAAGTTTAGAATTACGTGCATTCTATTACTTCTACTAGAGGGATTCTAAAACTATAGGATTACTCCTGTGGAACAAGAGAAGTTTCACAATCATATCATCAATTATTTAGCTGGTGTGTATTCTTCCTTGTTATATTATTTGTAGTAAGATTTACTTTGTACAGCCTGCCAAAACTAGTTTTTGGTCTGTTTATTTAAACAAAATTTTTAAAATATTATTTTTTTAAAAAAAAGCCTAATACAGTAAAACTAACATAAATTGAGACTGAGAGAATGCAAAGCAAATCTACTCAAAAACCCCAAAATATATTATAGGTCACAGTATTTTACTCTATTAAATACTCATCTTGTTATACTAAATTCCTGATTTTATTATGCAAATTAATATACTGTGATTTGTTTCCTAACTGCATTGCTTATAGTTCAGTAATAACCTTTGCAAGATCAGGGGGTAAAATACAAGCCCCCACTCCACCTCAGTATAACACATGATCACTGGTCAAAATTTTAATTTTGTCTTTTTTTTTTTCCCCTCCAAATAATGCTGACACTCTAATCATTCTTCATAGCTAAGTTTTGGTAAACTATATAGATATATGGAACTATATAATAGATTAAATAGCCCTTTCTGATACAGGGAAATGTTACTGACTTAGTTTAAGTATTTCTGAAACAACAAATTTAAATATTACTAACTACAAACAACCAACATGAGGTATCACATCTCTTCATAGGTATGGACAAACGAATGGATGAACTATTATGTTAGTCTGTTCTGACTAAAGACATTTCAGGTAATGATTTGTACTACCAGAGGTAGTTTAAAGCAATGTTACATACTGATGCCTGAATGATGTTTGTATTTTATTAAAGATTTCTACCACTAAAAATAAAAGCATTTCTCCAAAGAATTCATCCAGAACATTTAATAAAGATAAAATAATCTTAAAAGTCTAAAAAATATATTTTATTGGACATTCCAATAAAAAATCTAACTCTGAATTGAGTCATGATCTATTACTAGACTTTTTTTTTGGTTTGCATTTTACAGCATCGTCACAATTACACTCATGTTTCCCCTAAAAAAGAAGCAGAATACTAGTATAAAATCCAGCCCAGCATACATTGATTCCACAAAGGGATTTTCAGAGCAATGTTACAAATGATGTAAGCAATACCATTTCAACCTCTTGTCCAGCAGAAGTTTAGGAGAACTAGGCTCATAAAACTGATATTTATGATAATTGATGAATTACCAAGATTAATTTGCTTTTTCCTCTTTGTTTTCTGGAATGAATTTCAAAAGAAGGCTTTAAGCCTAAAAGGAATGACAGGTTTTTTCTGTCAGTTTTAACACTGGCTTCCAAGTTCAATGAACCCTTGAGACAGTCTTAAGAGTCTCCAGTAGTTTCTGTTGCAGGATGAATCCTACAGAGTGGTAGAACATGGAGAAATCAAGGCAAATGAGAGAGTTGTAAAAGACTCAGTCTGAAAGGAAATTGAGTGTAGGATGCCAGATATGGAAAAGAAGGCAAAAGAAAAGGGAGTTCAGTAATCAAAAAGCAGATGAAAACAGTGCTTAAGTTCCCTATGCTTCAGACTTGCCATTGCTGCTTGGTATACAAGACAAGCAAGGTATTCTGAAGCAGAAACTGCAAATCTGCAGCTACACCTTGATCAGCATTGCCCAACCTTGCACAATTCACTGTTCATTTCTCAAGTCCGTTAATATGTCACAGTAGCGCAACTGTAAACTCTAGTGCACTTTTCCTTGCCCATCCTTGCCTACTCTGCATGATGACAACCACCCAGCCAAGCAGAAACTGGCATGCCCAGCACTCTGCATCACACATGGCACCACAGCCATCAGCAGCTGCCAGGGAAGTCTATTCACAGCAGAGATGCCAGCTCCCAGAAGCATCCTGGGCTGAATGCAGTGGGAGAGAGATACATGCACCCTTTTGTACGTAAAGAGGAGGTTGTCTGTAGTACGCTGGCAGAGCGTGGCGTCTCGATGTGGCGACACATCGAGAAGTTGCCCAAAGTCATTGCTTTTGCTGCTCCTGTTGTGGAAATACACTGAAAAACCTGCACATTCAGCTTTTTTTTATTTTAGACACTCTGAGGAGTACAAATTTTCAACAGTACTAAAAAACAACTGAGGAAAACAGTAGGAATTATGACAATACTGATTCACTAAAAAATGACTTTTAATTTTGTCACTATCCCAAACTAACAGAGTATTTTATTTCATGCTTTTTTCTTGTTCCTTGGAGTTCCCATATTTCACATGTAT